TAATTTTAGCAATAAACAAAAAAATCTAAATTATATCTTTAGATACTAGGATTGATTTAATGACTAAGAACGTTTTTATCAATAATACCATGATTCATAACATATAGACATAACCTAAATATACCAAAGCATTTCTACTTGGAACTAGCGCATCGTCAAAATAATGGGTCAATATTCATTTGACGTAATGCTGATCGAGAGAAGTTTTTATATATAAGCCTTATCACAATGCCACGAATGCACCCAGCTGCAGGCGTGTCTTGTTTAACATTCATTCCTATATATGATGGAACATTAATCAATAATCATGGAAGTATCACTTTTCAAATAACATCATTGTTAAATGAAAGAAAATTGTATGCAAAATTACATTTTGGTAATGGTGAGACGCAATATGTTGAAGTATATATCATTATTATTTAATATACAAACAAACTCTAGTACAAAATTGTATTAATTCAACTTTCATGTCTAATATAAAAACTTTTTTTAAAAAAAGAGATATAATCGTGTATAATATGAGAAAAATGAATATCAATACAAAATAAAATATCAATTAGCTATTGCTGATGACATATCATGAATATTGATCATTTGATTTGATTAATTTTGATAAATATTAGGCTTTTTGCTAGTTACATATTACAATAAGGCTTTTAAATGGATATTTATTGATATGAGCTTATTTCAAAATGACAGTCTTTGATTTATCCACTAATAAGATTTGATGTCACAAAAATCTAGATTTTGGGGCATAAAAACCTAACACCAAATCATAACTTCTGTGCATATACTAAATTGAGTACAGAAATATGTTAATTTTCAGTATTTTGAGAAGAATTCTTATTATCCTTCAAAAAGTCAGTATTTCTGCTGTAATTTTCTACAACATTGTAGTTATTGCACTTTGTCTATGGATTTGTATATATGTTATATATAAATTATATATCTAAACTGCCCATAAGTGCAATTTTTATATAAATTGTTTATTTCTTTAACAATTTCATATGAAATATGCTTTTTTAAGCGTATCAAAGCTGTGTTCTTAATGTGCATGGATATATCAAGAAAAATGTCGAAAAAAAATGTGAATTCACAAATTCACTGAATTTTCACCGTTTTTTGAATTTTGCTACAGCACTAATATTAAATAATACTAAAATCTTCTGTCTTTGTAAAAGAATAAATTCTGACAAAAAGTGCTCGTTTAAATTTAATGATCATCTGTATGACTAAGTGGTAAAAAGTGTTTATGACCAAAAAAGGGTTACATGCTTAGTCTATTTTTCTGACAGGATACTCTAGATTTACATGATCTCTATTTCATATCTCCGTTTTTAGATTCTTCGACAGATTTTATGATAGAAAACCAAGATTAACAAATTTCCGGCATGTTAATGAAGAAATCTGCAGCTACCCTCAATATTATTTCAATAATCAGTATCGTTTCTCTTACAATTTATTTTTTTCTCAATAATTTAACAAGAAATAACAATACACACTTGGTTTTACGTATAAAAGCTAAGTGTCGAACTTAATCAACTTTACTTACTTAGCAAATGAATATTTTTGTGGTTGCGAGTTCTGAATGCTGAAGTTTTAGATTTCTCTATAAATGATATCATTGCACTTACAATGTTGTTCCAGCCTATCGCATAAATCATAGAAAATCCAAAAAAAATAATATAAAGAAAATTCATGTCATGAAGTTCAAAAAATACCGTGTAACATTAAAATTTGTTATGCATAATACATTTTAGCTATTATTGATTTTTTTTAATTTTCGAGAAATTGAATGGTGAGTCCGATAGAGAAATTTTTAAAAATCCTAGTGCCTCATAGAAGTAATTTCCCTCGTCTCCCATACTTCCAAATGTATGCATATGACATAAACTTTTATGCATTACACAAGTGGCCAATAATATCTATAGAGTAAAAAATTAGAAATTTAATTTTTTTATATGATAGTTATATTTCAGATTTGCGAGCGTAACTTTTTTCTCCATGGCATACTTGTTTTAAGAGCAAATGATCAAAATCGTCCTTCAATTATTGAAGGAGCTGATATCTTTTGAAAATTGAATTGAAAGGGTATTCAATTTTCAAATTTCCTCTCAATTTTGGAAACATATCAACTCTATGAATTAACAATTATGTGCCTTCACAGTTTATCAGTCATATAAGGTGCTTATAAAGAAAAAAGTTACGCTCGCAAAATATGTTTTTATATAGATTTCACATAAAATAATTATGTAATTTCTAAAAAGAATATTTTTGTTCTTGAATATTAAAGTGTATTGTAGTTTAAAAAGTTTTAAATATGTTGCTAAAATTTCAGGTTTATAGCTCATGTCTAGCATGACTTCTTCGTATGCGCAAAAAATCTGACACGTAAGGGTATCCTTAAGAAGCTTTAAAAAAAATGCAAAAAAATTGAATACTTTACTGGCTGGGCAAATTTGTCGCCGCCCCTCAATATTATTTTTCGATCCTGTGAAGTATATGAAAATCCTTGTGTTTCTCAAATCTAAATAATTAATTATTGTGATTGTATCAGAAAAGACCAAAAATAAATTTCGCGGAGCGCCGAGATTAAATATAGTACAATTCTTCCCCAATTCAATGAAACTAATATATCCCCATAATGCATCCTTGCTAATATAAGTATTTGATGGAATTTTTATTCTAGATATTGAAGTATCAACAAAACAAGATTCTCCAATATATTCACAAGAGTCCAAAATTTCAACAGAGTTTAAATTTCTGCATTCGCAAAATGCCATTTCGCAGATTTTTTTTAATTTTACCTCCCAAAATTATTGTAGATAAATAGTTACATCCCTCCAATGATGAAATCCCAAATTCCATAACTGCTTTTGATTCAAATGTTTTTAATCCACAATAACCAATTGCATAAGATCCAATGTATCTACATATGGATGGAGTGATTAAATCTTCTGTTGTAAAACACATAGAAAAACAAAAATCAGGAATGCATTCCATGTGTTGCACAATATCACTAAAATCGAGATTGGTACATGAATAGAATGCATATTCTCCAACAGTGATAATTCCAGTGGATGAATCAATAATAATCTGAAGATTTGGACATTCATAAAATGAATAACTTTCGATATATTCAATATTGTTTGAGAAAATAACTTCTCTCAATTCTGAACAACAAGTGAATGCACAGCATGATATGTTCTTGACTTTGATCAAATTAATTCTCTCTAACTTGCTATATGCAAAACAATATGATGGAATAATTTCGATTTTATCATTGAGAATTACGTTTTTAATGCTTGAATTAATAAATGAGAAGAATGGAATCTCTTTAACATTTTCATTGAAAGAATATTGTTCTTGTTGAGAATCAGAAAACATCATTGGTCTCAGGTTTCCATCATATTCATCGGTTGTTGAAAAATCAATTAAATTATCTCGAAATGTATCAATTCTTCCAATAAATTTCATCGTGTTTGATAAATTCAAGAATGATAATGAGGGAATTCCAGAGAATGAATCATGTTCTAGCACTTCGAAATTCTGTGGGAAAGAAACTTCTTTGAGAGACGTACATCTATTAAATGCATTGTTTTTTATGATTTTCAATGAATTCGGAAATTTCACACTATACAAGTTAATACATTGATAAAATGCATATTCTTCTATTGTTTCATAATTTTGCGAGAGTGAAAATCTCGAATTATTGTCAAAAACAACTTCATTTTCAGCAATTTCTGTAATTCTGTTATTATTATAATATAAGTAAGATGGAATAAACTTCATATTTGGAATAAATGTGGCATTTATGACCGAAGAACTAAGAACAACATATTTTTTCATTTTAAATTCAGGCGAAATGAAATGAATTTCAGTTAAATTGATATTATTTAGAAAATTCGAATTAATTGCTCGATTTTTAACATTTAAAGTAAATTTGTTTTCAAATTCAATGGTGTCCAATTGATAACATTCATCGAATGCATCTCCTGAGATATATAAACTTTCTGGATTTTTAATTTTAATTTCTTTAAGATTTTGTACTGCTCTGAACGAACATTCAGCTATTGTATTTAAATTCTTTTCGAAAACCAAATTAGTAAAATTTGTAAATACAAATGCAAATTTTCCAATTTCCTTAAGATTTTTAGGAGATTTAAGATTGTTTAATCTTTCGCAGTGAAAAAAACAGTGTGGATGAAAAATTTCACAAGTATCTGAGATTTGAAGAAATTGTAATTTTGTACAGTCGTAAAATGAATATGTGCCAATTGATTTAACATTGGCTAATATTGTAACATTGGTTAACGAATAACATCGATAGAAGTAAAATGGCGGAATTTCTTCAATTTCACCTTCAATAACAGCCTTTGTAATACTCTCATTATCTGCAAATGTACCAACCATTTTACTTCCACTGAAGATGCATTCATACAATTCATTACATTCATATCCAAGAATTTTAAAGTTATCTGATCAAAATTAACGACACTTTTTGATTGATGCGATCATTCATTTTTATTAATCAAAATGGTGTAAAACAAGATGGTAGCTTTATCAAATTTCACTGCGGATAAAAAATTGTCTATTAGCGTAAAGAACTTCACGTAAAAGATTTTCTAATTCTTTAATTTTAGTAGAACAACCTAGTTTTACTGAAGCCAAAATATCTACATAGAGTATTAATACATATCTAGATGCTTGGATTCCAAAATTTGCTGACTATGCAGTTAATACATTGGATTTTGATTTCATAATGACAGATAACAGCTGAATACCTGAAACAATCATGATATTTTTAGTAAATATTCTAATTTTGAAAGATGAACTATATGAATGACCTGATTTTGCCAATTCAGAATCAATATTTCCTAAATTGATCTTGAATTATGAAAGATTTAGTTTCTACTTCAATCGTTATCATTGGTATTTCATTATTTTCCAAATATCCAAATAAAAAATATATTTGACGATACTAAAAGTGCCAATATCGAATGTCTTTCTGGGATACAGAAGATGCGCAGGATCCAATTTCTGAGCTTCTTGAGAAGTCAGATCTTACTGTCGTTGACTTGTTCAATGAAGGATCTATGCTTCAAGAATTAAGAACTAATAATGAGCATCTTATTGAATATTACGCCAAAGAAGATGTCATTAAGGAACTTTGCGACTGGTCTTTTACAACGAAATTCCAAGACAACGAATCTTTCGATAAATATTCACGCATTGCCACTGAAGTTTTCACATGCGCAAGTACTGTTTCTAATGGATTTATCAATTCTCCATACTTGAAAGACTTTTTCACAAAACAGCTCCTGTCAAAGGATGACTGGGATCCAGGATGCGCTGGCCATTTCCAGAGAGTTTTCTTACATTTGACAAATGTATCAAAAGGCGAATATCTTTCACGTTATGGGAATCTTATTCCTAATCTAATCCACCATATCAGCACTCTCGCTATCACAGAATTAGTTGTTATGCTTACAAATCAATATTATTCAAGTTTCTGTCCAAACGGTGAATTAGTCACAGCATTAAGCGATTACCTCATTACAGATAATGCAGATGTTGTTTCTGCCGTATACGCATTACGCCAACTCTTCAATTTGGGCTGGGAAAATGCAGATATTCAGAAAGACTTAACATCCGATTCTCTCATCGCTAATTTAATCCAGGCATCAAAGACATCGAAAGTACGATTAGGCCAGATCGAATGCATGAGATTACTTAGAGATATATCTAATAAGAACGAACTCGCCTTGATTTTCCGCAGAGGCGACGTTGGCGATGTTCCAACTGCAGACTGCGCTTCCAGTGCTCTCGCAACAAGCGTAAAAGGCATAACTCTCGAAGATTCTTTGAAAGGAGCCATCGGAACACCACATTGGCAGATCGCTAACGCTTATCTTAAGATCATTACAATCGCAGCTCCAGAGGACATTTTTGAAATCGTCAAATCAAATAATATTGTTTCACAATTAGCTGCAATTCCAAAGGAGAACTTAAACCCATTCCAGCTCGAAGTCATTCGCATTTTATTCAAGAAAGCTGAAGAATTCCAATTCGATTTATCACCTTTACAAGAAGTTAAGGAAACCGCTGACAAATTATGGAACCAATATGGTGGACCATTGCCTATCGGTGGAGCCGTGGATGTGAAACTTAATGCTGAATAAAACTTTTTTTGGTATTTAATTTTTACATAATAATTTTTAATGATATAAGTACTATATATTTCATGAATATTTAAGTCTTTTCTTAATGTTTTTGGAAAGTAAAAGAAATTCAATTGAATTTAAAAAGCGATGTTAAAAATTATATCAATCATAAATGTTTATTTACAGATTTAGAATGTTAAATTGCCATGATTTCGTGGATCCATTGAAATAATTAATCCTCCAACAAAATGGCATATTAATTGCTATTTTTTTGAACTTGGATTCAAAAGGTTTACCAACACTTCACAATCCGAATAATGACAACTACATCTTGTGAGCAACTCTATAAAGTTCCCAACTTTATGTATGATTTTGATTGAAATTCAAATCATACATAAAGTCGTAAATCTATGGAATGCACATTATACTAATAATGAATAATCACTTATTTCCGATTTTTATAATTTGAGACAATTCTATGAGTTGTTCTCAAAACATTCCAATGATCACTAAAATGTTTTAGTCATCATGCATATATCTTCTCAATTATGATCGATGGAGAATTAGGAGTTTCATTTTCGCTTTAATTTAAAGTTGTGGATGGAATATATTATAGCATTTGGTACTTATACTCTAATGTGAAATCGGATGAGCTTTAAGAACGCATCTGCCACTAATTGATTCAAAAGTTAATATATTCAGTTAAAAAAAACTAATTAGTTTTAGATTCAATAAACAACTGTTGCATAAAATTTAAGTTTTTACTCTAAAAAGAGCTGGCGAAAGTGATAATAATGAACATTTTGTTGATGAAAATAGCCTCTGTTGATAATGATTTACAAAAGTCTTATGTGAATCGCATTGATTTTTTACCTCTGAAAAAGGGTCTGAAGACCGATCATCATGCTTTGCTATTTCTTGGAATTTAGAATATTTTATTCTTGTTACATTCTTATTGAAGAAATAGTTATTTTCATAGTTGCACAAAACATATATAGTTTGAGAATCTTCAATCTTTAATATCTGATAAATTGATGGATCTAAATAATTCGTTTTTCCCTGATAGTATAAATAAAATGAAACATATTGAGTATATGTCATGTCAATTATGTTAATTCTATCATATATTGATAAAAAGTGTATATTTCTTGGAAAATTGTAGATCGTGCAATTTTTTCCAAGTTCTAGAAATGTTAAATAATTATCACTTAAGGCATTCTCAGAAATATATGAATCTGCCGGGATTTGAAGACTTGATAAAGAATAGGTGTCAAACAAACAATAATCTTCAAAATATGAAACAGTGCCATGAACAATAAAAGTTCTCAAGTTTCTGCAATAATAGAATGCACCACCTCCAATTCTTTTAATATTTCCGTACAAAATTGCTGTTCTTAATAAATCACTTTTTTCAAATGAGAGAACTCCAAACTCAATTACCCCCATTGCTTCTAATGTCAATAAACCTGATTCTGAAAATGCTCTTTGATGAATAATTTTGCATATTGATGGTATTATTAAGTTTTCAGTTCCTTGGCATTTAGAAAAACAATATAATGGAACAAATTCCATATGTTGCACAATATCACTATAATTGAGATTGGTGCATGAATAGAATGCATATTCTCCAACAGTGATAATTCCGGTGGATGAATCAATAATAATCTGAAGATTTGGACATTCATAAAATGAATAACTTTCGATATATTCAATATTGTTTGAGAAAATAACTTCTCTCAATTCTGAACAACAAGTGAATGCACAACATGATATGTTCTTGACTTTTATCAAATTAATTCTCTCTAACTTGCTATATGCAAAACAATATGATGAATAATTTCGATTTTATCATTGAGAATTACGTTTTTAATGCTTGAATTAATAAATGAGAAGAATGGAATCTCTTTAACATTTCCATCGAAAGAGTATTGTTCTTGTTGAGAATCAGAAAACATCATTGGTCTCAGGTTTCCATCATATTCATCGGTTGTTGAAAAATCAATTAAATTATCTCGAAATGTATCAATTCTTCCAATAAATTTCATCGTGTTTGATAAATTCAAGAATGATAATGAGGGAATTCCAGAGAATGAATCATGTTCTAGCACTTCAAAATTCTGTGGGAAAGAAACTTCTTTGAGGGATGTACATCCATAAAATGCATTGTTTTTTATGATTTTCAATGAATTCGGGAATTTCACACTATACAAGTTAATACATTGATAAAATGCATATTCTTCTATTGTTTCATAATTTTGTTGGAGTGAAAATCTTGAAGAATTTTCAAAAATAACTTCATTATCAGCAATTTCAGTAATATTACTATTTTGATAATATAAGTAAGATGGAATAAACATCATATTTGGATTAAATGTAGCATTTATAATTGAGCAGGGAATTGATATCCAATTTTTCATTTTAAATACAGGAACTATGAATTTTATTTCTGTTAAAATATTTCTACTTATAATATTCAAAGAAAATACATTTTCAATTTCAATTTTTTCTAAATACAAACTATCTTGAAAAGCGTTTTCATCAATGAATAAATTATCAGCATTGCCGATTTTGATTGATTTCAAATTTAAAATGGATCCAAACGCATTGCTTTCAATTAATTTTACATTTTTCTCCAAAGATATATGTGATAAATTAGTGAAACAAAAAGCACTAAATCTTAATTCTGCAAGATTTTTAGGAAAATTAAGATTAGATAATCTATCACAGCTATAAAAGCATCTACCATTCAAAACTTCGCACGAATCCGGAATTTGAAGAAATTGTAATTTGTTACAACTGTGAAACGAAGAATCACCTATGGATTTAACATTGGCCAATATTGTAACATTGGTCAATGATTCACATCCATAAAAGTAAAATGGTGGAATTTCTTTAATTTCACCCTCGATAATAGCTTTTGTAATACTCGCATTCCGTGCAACTGTACCAACCATTTTATCTCCACGAAATGTGCATTCGAATAAATCATTACATTCATATTCAAAAATATTTAAGTCAAATGTTCATTTTTTGGCACTTTTTATTTGTACGTTTAAAATAAATTTGAAATACAAAATCTAATTCCTAAAAATTCTTACACTGCAATCTTAAAAGAATTTTGTTCTAAGAAAATTTCGTCAAAATATCAATTTCAAAAAAATATTTAATAAACTTTTAAAGAATTATATTCTTAGATGATTCCCTACCCAATACACATATAATATGCATATATATATATAGCATTTCTTTGAACATTGAATTTGATTAAGAAAAGATATGGTACCATTGCTCCTATCATTATATTTGATAAAACATTAGAATGCATTACTGCATCAAACATTTGATTAATATCATCTTTTAAAATTCAATACTGAATATTGTTCTATTTATGAATGAATTTTGATTCTTGACGAATTGATCAATGCTATTTCTGCATGTGTTACCATGGTTCTTTTGATATTAGAATTTATTCCATGTATTTCATTTTTTTTTAAATAATATTCATGATTTCTTCTGTGTTATAAGATTTTTCTCTAGCACCTAAATTAGAACAATTGAATATAGTTCAATAAAGATCATTATGGAATATCAATTTTAAAATTATTTTGATATTGATATTTGATATAAGCATATGAAAACTTGGTGGATACACTCCATTATTAACAATTATAAGATTATGTCCAGGACCTCTGATCTCTCAAATCGTTAATGCACTATATGGAGTTATCGATTCAATGTGGGTTTCAAAGTTCATCGGAGAAATCGGTTTAGCTGCATTATCAATTGCATATATTATTGATGCATCAGCACTTGCTTTTGGCTTCTTCGTCTCAGTTGGAGCTGCAACAATACTTGCTTATCTTCTTTCAACCAAAAATTATGAAAAAGTAAATCAAGTTACTGCTGATCTGTTCATGTTGTGCCTAATCTTTGCATTAATTGTTCCTGCAATACTTCTTCCATTGGCAAAACCAATTTTCAGATTTTTGCAAGCTCCAGATAACATTCAAAAGCTCGCTTTTGATTACGTTATTCCTCTATGCGCAATGAATTTGATTACATGCTGTTATCATTGCATTTGCGGTGTTTTACAAGCAGAAGGAAGAACATGGACATATGGTGGTGCTCAAATGGTGTCAATGATTTGCAATATGGTATTATTTGATCCACTTCTTCTTTATCTTCTCAAGAGAACAGTTGGTTCATCACTAGCTACAGAATTAGCTATGTTAATTCCAGCATCTGTTCTCATTTCATTACTCTTCTGCAAGAAATTTGCCGCAAAACCAACTCTCAAGATGTTTTTCCAAAAGTTTGCACCAGAAACATGGATGGCAGTCAAAACAGGACTTGCAACATTCATTATGAATATATCATTCGTTGTCCCAACATTTGTTATGCAAAAATACTTGTCAATCAGAGCCAAAAGAGTAGGCAAATATGAAACTGTCATTGCAGTTTACAACACACTCTTCAGAATTTATGGACTTTCTTTCTTCGTTCCTCTTGCAATGAATGCTTCCTACTTACCTTCAGCTGCATATGCATTTGGAAAGAAGGAAAACAAGAGAATATTATGGCTGACTTGGCATGTTATTTGGATTTCATGCGTCTGGGGATTCTTAATTACTTTCATCACATCTGTTTTCCCAGACAAGATTGCTTTAATTTTTAGCAAAGATGATGAGTTCATTTATTGGTCAAAAAGAATGATTCCAAAATGCTTCTGGACATACTCTTGCGCATGTGTCAAGTTTATTATGATATCATTCCTCCAATCTACTCAACAGACAATGAAAGCAATGATACTCAGTATATTAACAGAGTTATTGGGACTCCCAATTTTTGGAAGTCTATTCCATTATTTAGCTGAAAAAGAATCGCCAATCACTCTTTTATATGCTTATCCAGTGAATGATATTTGTGCAGCTTTGTGTTGCCTTGCAACTGCTTCTCCCACATTCTATAAATTTATCAAATCAGATAATAACACAGAAGAAAATGATCAAAAGTCAGATCAAGTTGACAGCACAAAAGATGAAAGTAACAAAGAAGATGAAGCTACTCCTCAAGTTTAATATTATTAGATTCTTTACTTAATATTGTTAGTAGGGATATTTGATTAAATATTAGATTTTGAAAAAAAATACAATTTTTCCCCAAACAGTTTTATAATGTTAGAGTCATATCATTTATATGAATGTTTACCAATAAAATAAAGCATATTGTCAAAATTAATCTGATTCAATCAAACATTTAAATATGTTCAAAATTTGAGATAGGGTATTTGCAAATGTTTTATTAGAAGTTAATTTGTACTATATACAAGCGATTTGAAAAATAAGATGCAATTTTTAAATTCTAAACTATCAATTGATGATTTTTAATTCTGCAATTCGATATTATTTCACATTGTACGATATTGCCATATTTTGCTAAGGATAAATTAAAGATTTTAATTCGGTATTAAATCTGATCCTATTTATCCAAAAAATAACAGATCGATTTTTATCTGGCAAAACAATGTTTTTGAGATGGATCCATTAATCCTTCCACATTTAAGTTAAATTATAAAATTAAAATAATTAAAGCTAACATTATATTAAAGGAGGGTAGTATTTGTGATTTGATTCAAATATTGTTTTTTGTTAATATATGAACGTTCGTAAAAGAAGTATATAAAAGATCATATAATTTAAACGCAAAAACAAACAGTTTATTAAGTCTATAGCAAGAGAATCATTAGGATAGACCCTAAAACAGTCAATGAAGCATGACTGATAGTTCTCAATCTTCTAGCAAGTTGAGGCCTCTTTGATCGTAATAACAAAGCTGCAATGTATCCAGCGATCGGGCAAACAGCCGATGTGACATAAAGGGCATTATCAGATGGATAAGAAGGCTCTTCTATTTCCTCTGGTTCCTCCTCGCCACAGAGAATCTCAATTGGTAAGCAGGATGGGAGAGGATTTTCAAGCTCAAGAACCTTACCATTCTTAAGAGTATATGTGAACTTTGAATTCATTTCTTCACCTGGTGCAGGCATGTTAGAACGAGATGTGAGAAGCAGAATGTCTGGGGTTGGAAGGATGTAATCGCACTCAATTTGGCTGTATTCTCAAGAATCCTCATATGGGTTATAGTTACTTACGTAGCTTGATTCAGAACTTTCTTCCTCATAAAATGATGAGTAGATGTTTTGAGGAGTTTCGATTTCATCTTCGGCATTGAAGTATACAGACTTAGTCTTAAGTTCAGAGCATTGCTGGAATGGATATGGTTCTTCCGGAACGTAGCAGTATGGGGCATGTGGCATTGATAGACACTAAATAAAATGATTTAAATTTAGCAACTATTCAATTTTTTGTGAACAAATTATTAATTGATTACTGATTGAAATTCTTAGCGTTTGAATTCAAATTTAATCGTTAACATAAAGAACGCTATTATATTCTATTAATTGCACCCAAAATTAAAATTTTAGAAATTTTTATCTGAAAATTTTTATGATTTTGCTCTGAATTCAAAGGAATGGATATTTGCCCTATATACAAGGTCCCAGTTCATTTAAATTAATGACCTAATATGATCTCAAAAATTTTTATTTTTTTGAGAAATTGAGAGTAAAACTCCCATCTCAATTTTGAGAGCAATTAGGTCCAAGCTCTTTGAAAATTTTATCATAAAAAATAACATCAAAAATCAATTGATCTCCTTAGTTGAAAATACTTAGCACAGCACCATCTATTGACATTATTTAATTAACTCGATTTTATCATTGAACCATTTGAAAAGAAACTTGTTCATTGATTACATTTATTGATGTTTCAGGACATTTTGATTGTTATTTTATTGTTTTTGTATACCATACACAAGATTTAACCAAACAGACATGAATTTTTTGCTGGCTCATTATGCTTTATCGGATTGTAAACTATTCAAAAAAGTTCAAAAATCTAACCCTTTACCTCATCCATTTTATGCGTAATCATCTAAAATTCTTAAACATATATTCTATTATATAGAAGGAAATTCTATTCAACGCAAAATTAACAATCTTTCAACTAATTCAAGATAATTTTTCATTTACATGATTGATTCAATCATCATTTTCGCCATAAATCATTTAGTATCCTTATGGCAACATCTGTGTTCAATAACAAATATCAATTCTGATCAAATTTTTGTTTCAATAATTTTTATTCAAACAACTTTAATCATAGAAATCATTAAAAACATTATACATTAGTAACCATTGATTTATGTATATAAAATACCATTACAATCTGACATATTGACCATATTTTATCTGAATTTTTGAATTCCACGGTTACTCATAGAATTTTTGTGAAATTTATGTTATTCGTTCTCTTAAAACGTGAATTTACCAAAACATCAACACATTTATCAAGTAAAAGATAAACGTTCATAGAGGAAACCCATTTTTCCCTGTCTTCACAACAATTAATGAGTTATATGATTAATTTGCTATCTATTAATTCACAACTAGCTTAATACATAAGACATTACTACACACCATAATAAGCAACTTAAAATTATTGAAATTTTTGAAATTAAATTTTCAAATTTTTTTCTCCTGTGAATAATACATACCTAGCATATTTCACATCATACGATTTTTTATATTATTGATTTGTATATATGATTGCAACACCATTGGATAAAATACAATATCAATTTGGAGAAACTTACTGAATGGAAGGAAACAACATATTTAAAACATAATAAAATAAGTTTTATTCAAAAAATCTATCTATACCTATCGTAAAATATATTGCCAATTTTTAATTTGATCTATTGAGAAGTAATTAAGCATCAAATAATAAAAGGCATATCATTAAAGAAATTATAATAGTGAGAAGGAGTAATAATATGTTTATAACTACAAAAAATTATGAAATAATTTGCAAATTTCAAGAGATTTGAACAGAACACACCTATTTTGTTGTATTTGCCTTTGGAGGGAAGAAAGAGTGGAAGAGCTGATCAATAATTGATGCAATTGCATACAATCCGGCAGTAAATCCAGCAGTTGAAATCAAAAATCCTCTGAAACTTCTTGAAATCCATGTAATTTGAATGGTATATGGGGTAAACTGATAGTCAAAGTAGATACCAGGATCTTTGTCTTGAACTGGATGCAAATAAACTGTATATTCGAAACTTTTCTCGATAAATTGATTATCAGCAACAAATATGACTGGAGTAACTAATAGTGAGTAATCGTGAGTAACTGTTAAGTTTTCTTTAGCTCTCATAACTAAATTTTGCAAAGGTTGCTTTGCAGTAATTATTCTTGGGCCAAAACGTATATGTTCAATAGCATGACTGAAAGCAAGGTTCGGGAAGTCATCTAAGAGTTCATGAATATGAGATCCATCATTTAAGTAAATATTTCTTCCAGCAGCAATATGGAAAGAACCACGTACTCTGTTAACTGATACTTTGCCTTTAACTAGGCATTTTTCGGATGAATTTATGTCTGGTCGAGCGTTTGTTTGACATTGCGGCCATTTTTCTGGTTCTGGTGTTAAATTATTCAACTTGTAATTTTCTTTTAATCTATCACATCCATTGCAGCATGTGTAATTATGAAACTGGACTTTGAAACAAGGATAACATTTATCTACCATTGTTTGATTGGTCAAACCAATAAGAGAGTAGTTGAAATCATACCTGTAAAATCTAAGAGTATTATTTACGTAGTTCTGGGTAAAGCCTAAACTGTCTGTTAAGTCGAAATGCAAATAATAACAAGGTAAATCAACGAGAATACCTAGTGAAATGTTGACCAATGAATCACCTGATCTTATACTTTGCAAAGGGGCTAAATCTCTATGAATTTTTGGAGATAATATGATAATAATATTTGCAAGAAGAAGAAAAGCGGTAAAAACAGAGACAATATCTGAAAGAATGAAGCTAAACTTATCAGAAATGACGAGTTCTTTATCCTTTGTCTTATCGAATATGTCAAAATACGAAAGATAACTTGCCATTATAATGAAAGAAAAAATTTTTATCGTATGAGCTAAAAATAAAAAATATAGGAAATAGATCAAATATCGATTTTAACACGATTTGCGTCGTGTTTGTTTATTATTTAGCGCGTCGCTTCTCAATTTTTTTCTATGAGTTTATTCAATTGTTGAATATACCACGTCATAATAATTGTTTAGAGAAAGAATAGGGAATTATGAGAGATCATTATAGCGAATTAATGTACAAGTGGTATGAACACATTAAAATCTTAAATATATGAATTAATAGTAAAATGGATGAAAACAACAATGAAATTCATTATAATATTAGTTGAAAATGTTGTAATTTAATACAACGTATGTCAATTAATATTCGTATACAATGAATATTTAAAGGAAATGAGAGGAAAACAGAATAAATTAAATATGATATTTAAGTATTCGGGATTAGAGAAGTAGATTAATAGAATAATATGAAGTTGTTTTGGGATATAGGGAATAATATCATATTTTTATCGTTATTTCTATTTTATTGAATCTTTGAATTTAGATTTCAAAGAAAAATGTCAAAAATGGAAACAATTGGTATAAAATATTTATCTATGGTATGTAATTAATATATTCTTTATTCATATTTTTCTTAGAAAATGTCGTATTTCTCTCAGTTTTGGAAAACTTCTCAGAAATTTTGTTCGGGCATTTATTCTTTCAATTTTTTGAAAAGAGAAATTTTGTCTGAACACTAAATCATTTTTCGATAATGTTTGACTGGTTTGATGAACCAATTGTATACTACAGACGCTTCGCTCCAATGCGCTCTGGTGTCTTTGATTACATGTCACGTTGGATGGATTCAGTAGATCGTGCTATGGAAGAAGAATTTGGTGACTTTTATGATGCATTCACTCGCCGTGATGTTGAACATGATATGATTGAATATGATACTGAATGCAAACACTGCAAGAAGAACAGTAATAAGAAGAATTCCTCCAAGAAGACAGAGGAGAAACCAAAGAAAGAAGAAGTAAAGCAGGAAGACGTCAAGGAATCTTCAAATGTTGATGATGATGACGTCGAAAGTGATGATGATGTTCCACAATACTACTCATTCACATCATCAATGTATAGTGGCTCCGATGGTATACAGCACATACATCGTGAGGAAGTTGATTCAAAGAGTGGTCTCCGCAAAGTTGTTGATACAAAGCGTGTCGGCAACAAGTCTCTCACAGTTCATGAAGTTACTGACAAAGATGGGTAAAGTTGAGAAACACGAGACAATGAAGAACATTCGTGATGATGAGATTGAAGAGTTCAAGAACATGTGGCACAGCACAATGTTCCTGCACAATCTTCTCTTCCAGAACCAGAAAACAAAGAAAAGAAGAATGTAAAGAAGGAAGAGAAGAAAGATGATAAGAAGACAGAAGATAAGCCAAAGAAAGAAGAAACTCACTAAGGAAAGAAAAAAACTTTGTGCTGAATTTCTAATCTTCTTTTAATATTAATATGTTTGTAAACATGATTCTATATGATTTATTCTAAATTTATCTTTTTTTATAATTATCATTCTAATATAAAGTTATAAAGAATTAGATATTTAATTTTGAAATAATTAATGATAATATATAATGAAAATAGAATAAATATATTTTAATTCATATCAATTTACAATTATTATCATATTTTTATCGTTATTTCTATTTTATTGAATCTTTGAATTTAGATTTCAAAGAAAAATGTCAAAAATGGAAACAATTGGTATAAAATATTTATCTATGGTATGTAATTAATATATTTTTTATTCATATTTTTCTTAGAAAATGTCGTATTTCTCTCAATTTTGGAAAACTTCTCAGAAATTTTGTTCGGGCATTTATTCTTTCAATTTTTTGAAAAGAGAAATTTTGTCTGAACACTAAATCATTTTTCGATAATGTTTGACTGGTTTGATGAACCAATTGTATACTACAGACGCTTCGCTCCAATGCGCTCTGGTGTCTTTGATTACATGTCACGTTGGATGGATTCAGTAGATCGTGCTATGGAAGAAGAATTTGGTGACTTTTATGATGCATTCACTCGCCGTGATGTTGAACATGATATGATTGAATATGATACTGAATGCAAACACTGCAAGAAGAACAGTAATAAGAAGAATTCCTCCAAGAAGACAGAGGAGAAACCAAAGAAAGAAGAAGTAAAGCAGGAAGACGTCAAGGAATCTTCAAATGTTGATGATGATGACGTCGAAAGTGATGATGATGTTCCACAATACTACTCATTCACATCATCAATGTATAGTGGCTCCGAT